CACATATTTTCTCCATTGATCAACTTTCAATTCAAATTCATGCTTCTTCGCATCCATAACGGCATTTATGTTCATCAAGTAGTTTTTGAGTTTCAACGTTTTCAATAGTATTTAACTTTTTCTCTATTGTAAGCAATTCTTTTCTATGTTATTTCTCATAACATCATACTGTTCTTTTTATTAGAAATAAACTGAAAGATAAAAAGTTGTTATTAATGTAAAAATATAAAATTAAAGATAAGTAGAAAAATATATTAAAAAAATAAAATACATTAAATTCAATCTGAATGGGATACTGTTACACAACAACACATAGCCTATATATAGGTAGCAAAAATCGCCTATTAATTTTTCTCTATGTAACCACACATTCATTTTATTTAATCGCTATTTAATTTTTACTATTTAATTTTGTTTTAATATTTTCATAATTACTAATTTATAATTTTTAATCGTAATAGATAATTTATAATTTTTATAAATTAATTCTTACATAATTTTGAATCATTTATTCAACCCTCTCTCTTGATTCAAAATTGCATACACTAAGTAACGATTTAAAATAGACATGTTTCTGATATGGAAGTGCTACTTTTGTAAATATATATATTACTCGTTCAATCTTTTCCTTTAATTTGAATGTCTTTATTATCTTCAAACTTGATTGTCGTTTTTTGTGTTTCATCAATTGTTTTCATACTTGATATATAGTTAGAGCAGCAACTTTGTTAGTATCATAATAAACCATAAATAACTTACTTTCTTCATTAGTTGTCTTGGCATAATTAGTTGTCTTTGCATAATAAACCATAAACAACTTACTTTCTTCATTAGTTGTCTTTGCATAATTAGTTGTCTTTTCATAATAAACCATAGACAACTTACTTTCCTCATTAGTCGTTATCTGTGGTCACTATCTGCCTCTTTTTTCATCGATGGACTCACCTTTGCTCAAAACTTCTGTTTCTTCTTCTACCACGGTTCTTTGCACCTTTGCCTCAATTTCTTCTTGTGTATGTCTTGTCAAATTTTATTAAATTGGATGTTTCCCCCTTCACTTAAAATGTTTTCTCTGTCTGTAATGCCACTTTTGAAGAATACTTTATTTGCAAAGGAAAATTTATGGACTTCTCCATGTCGATTTTGGTTAGCAAATGATTGTTGTTTCTTTGCCCAAAAATTTTGCAACCTTCATATTCAAAATAAACTGCATAACTGTTTTCTAGAAGTTATTCGATACTCAGCAGATTCTTCTTCAAATCTGGCACTAATAATAGATCTTGAATAAATTTATACAACATTTTAGTTTGCATAACAATACTGTGTTTGCCTTTAGATCGAACCAAGTCACCATTTTCCATGTGTACCTGGGTCTCGTATGATGCATCTATATCTCGGATAATTTTTGGTTACCTTTCATGTGATTTGTGCAGCCACTGTCCAAGTACCAATTATCATCATTTTCTTCTATTGTAACATAACATATGAAAAAAATATTTTTGGAATTTTCATTTTCTTCTATAAAATTTACGAGTTTATGAACTTGACTTATGCTTCTGCAGTATTTTGCGACATGGTCGAGTTGCTTACATTTGTTGCAATGTTTCTTCTTTCAACATCTCGACGTATTGTGATTTGATTTTTTACAGATATCTCACTACGTATTTAAACTCGAACATGCTTCTCATTCAATTTGATTTTGTTACTTCTGCATATTCTGTTCGCATTTTTTCTGATAATTTCTTTGATTTTTTTGAAGAAGTTTGAATTCTAAAACTAGTGTTAAAAATACTTTCAATAGAGTTGTTTCCACTCTGCAATTTTCTTATCTTGTGTGACTCCAACATTAATTGTTGAATTGTAAGAGTAGACAAATCTTTCTTGACTCTTCAATTGTTGTAACAATATATTCATATTTTTTAGGTCAGCTAATTAAAATTTTTTTCACCATCTTTTGATCAGTAATATCTTCACCATAATTTTGCATCTGCTTCACGATCTTAATCACCTTCGAGAAATACTCCTTTATTTTTTCCAACTGTTTCTTTTGTAAATTCTAAAATTATCTGCGCAAGATATCCAACTTCACAACAATTACCTTTGCGGATCCCTAGAACTCTTTTTACAACATATCCTACACTTCTTTTGATCTAGTTGCACCAATTAACCGAGAGAACAAACTCTTTGCGATACCTTGTTGTATGAGAAATAAGGCTTTGATATCCTTCATCTAATCTTCCTCCAACTTCTTTGTTTCTAACTGATATCCAGCAACAAATTGAGAATAAACATTCTCAACTATATTTCATAACCCTTGCTATAGTATCAACGTTCATATTTTGATCTTCCATATATCATAATTTTCTCCTGAAAATATGGAAACCATCGTCTACACCATACTTGTACCAACACTTGAAACCATTAATTAAAAATGTTACTTCTTTTAGGAACGTAAATTTACTATTTTGTTAATATCCATTTTCGAATTAGGCTCTGATACCAGTTGTTGGAAATTAACTGAAGATAAGAAATTGTTACTGATACAAAAATCTAAAATTGAAAATAAGTAGAGGGATATATTAAAAAGAAAAAATATATTATATTTAATCTAAATAGGATACTGTTACACAACAACACAGCCTATATATAGGCAGCGAAAATCGCCTATTAATTTCTCTCTACGTAACTTGCCATTTATTTTATTTAGTCGTTGTTTAATTTTCACTATTTAGTTTTATTTTAATATTTTTGTAATTATTAATTTATGATTTTTTATAGTAACGGATAATTTATAATTTTCATAAATTAATTCTAAAATAATTTTGAATTATTTATTCAACACATTTAAAGTTTGATCTTTGAGCCTACAACTTTTACATTATTCTCTACTCTTCAAATATAATTTAGCTGCATTAATTTTCTTTTATGTCCCTTCAAGGTCCTCTTCCTTGAGCTTAATGATCCTATCATTCTCATTTTCCTTCTCTTCTCTTTGGTTGATAATCCTTGAAATTTTAGCAAGCCTCTCTTCTCCCATTCTCGTAAGGCTTCTCTCTACTTTGAGAAAATAGTTTTGTCGCTTCTCGTTCAATAATAAAAGATAAATGTTCTCTCTAGAGACTCGACCTCTTGTAACTTCCTCTCAGCCTCCAAACTTTTTTTCTACTCACTTCAGCAAGCCTTGTGTTAACAGCACGCAACTTAGACCTTACCTCAAAAGATTTCTCTTCAACACTAGTTACCAAAGCATTTGCTTCAATCAACTTTGAATAACTTGTAAACTTGATTTTTGCATGATCAAAAAGTATCTTAGCAGAGCCTTTTCTAGGTCAAGTACATATTGTTTCTCAACGCACAAAGCTTCCTCACATTATTCTCGCTTCTCAACTTTAGAGCTGCTTGTTCACGTTTTAAGGCATCTTTGGCTTCTGCAAGGGTTTGTTTAAAGTTCTTCATATTTTGGCGACCAATCATTTTTCTCAATTAAATGAAATCTCATATTTTATCGGTATTTAAAAAGCTCTTTTTTAGCTTTGAGATCTTATAAGCTAATGCTTCTAGGTCCACAAGGCTAATGCCATTATCACTTACCTGACCA